GCTTTTTTAGTTGAAGATGACCCACACTCCAACTACCCCTCAACTGGCAATCTCAGTGCTATACCCAGCGCCACTAAGCGTGAATATGGACGAACTAGCCGCCTTTTGCTAGAGCATGCCCGACTTGTTAAAATAATGGAATGTAGACATCTACGTAGAGTTGTAACGATTTTAAAATATTTAATTTGTATCTCGTGTGCTTTGAGCTCGAAACAGCTCCGCACACGATCTGACATCGTCATGTTCCTTCTGATCTCCCTTAGTTCCTTACAGTGATCATCCAGCTTATTCACCAGGGTTCTGGACTGCGTGAAGTGTACTAGCAAATCTCCGAGGAGCAGTAGCCCAGCGTGAACGATTCGGGAGTTCTGATAGCAAAAGCCAAACCTCATTCTAGTCCGACCCTTCAGAGATATTGGTGGAGCACGAGAGTGACCATGCGCTGGGAACCGCCGCCTAGTAATACTAGAGTCACTGAAGAAGATCAACATCTACAGCGTAATGGCGGCGCATTCAATTTGAAAGTAAAGCAAGACAAAGTCTGCTTTTTTCCTGAGGTCGTTCGACCCACCTTGCGGAGAATATTCATAAAAAATTAGAGACTCTCAAGCTAGCCGATCTTCCACTTCCTCTGTGTGGCCCTATCCTCGTGCCAACAAGAGGCAACTCAGTTTGACCTCTAGCGCTCTTCCCCAGGGAGGAATTTTACGCTAAGTGACATGACCTCAAACTCGACTTCCGATCTTTCTTCGATCAATAGCTCCTGGAATTCTAGAGATAAGACAGCGACTAAATTTCCTTGTATAGGCAATACATTGTAGATGACAGGGATGTATGTTTGGATGAGCAAAGACTCCATATGAAAAAGAAAAAAATTGAATTCAAAAATACCCAAAGTGATTCACTAATTATGGGACAACCTAATATTAAGAAGAGATTTCCACTTCAGCCCGAGCCCTGCAAAGCGAAGCCATATTCACAGCCGACCAGTTGGGGCTGCGTGGGTGGCCGTCCCATCTTCAATTTTCCATTGCTTTTAAAGTTTTCTCCTACACGTGCACCCTTACTGTCAACTTGATTATTGTTTTACTGGCGCAATGTGGCTCGAGGGGGGCCACTCGCCGCGCGCGATCTTTGCTCGTCCGCGCCCTGTAGTACTAAGCCTAGGAGTGGGCAGGAACTTTGGGAAGATGAAAATTGCTATGATCCTGGAGTTCCTCCTCCCCTGCCCGAGGCTTAGTCCCGATTTAGCGAAGAGGAAATGCTTACACAGAAAAACGCAGAGATCGCGCGCGGCGACTGGCCCCCACGAGCCACATTGCAC